CCTCCCCGTCTCCAGCACCACCCCGTCCCCACTACCACCCTCATCGACATTTTTTAACAAAGCCTTTTGGTTTTTATTCCATACCTTATTGTAGTCCCGATGATGTCATCATTGGGGCTCTGTGCTCCTTTGTTCAATGCAGACAGATTGTTGGCTGGTGGGAGGGGCCGGCAGAGTGATGTACATGGCTTCCGGGAAAACATCACAGCACCCTGCCTCAGCACTCCCAATGGGGTGCCACCATTGGAGGGGTGACATCAAAATGACTGTGTCACCCTCTCTGGTGTCACCCCCTCTGAAAAGTCGGGGACTCGGTCATATCACGTTCTCAAACAATTCCTCCCCACACAGCCACCTCCTCTCGTGTCACTTACCCCTTCCTAGAGTAGGGGGAAAGTGACAGGTGACAAGTGAGGGCAGGGCCCTCCTTACCATCTTGTCTTGACTTGTATTGTAACTGAAATGTCCTCCTTATATTGTAAAGCGCTGAGGAAACTGTTGGCGCCATATAAATCCTGTATAATAATAATAATAATCCTAATACTGGATTTTCTCTTTTGTTTGCAGGGAGTGATTCAAGATGCCAAACTCATATTTACACCAAATGGATACTTAACGCAATGCCCAAACCTGAATCGCAGTAAGTAGACATTCATAGAATTATTTTTGTTATTATGGTTATCAGTGTATCAGTAATAAAACCTGATATTATTATTATTATTATTATTCCATCATAATATTCAATATTCATTATAAATAAAATGTAAAAAAAATAAAAATGAAAAGTGTATGAAATCTATTCCGGAGCGTTGGAACTTCCGCTGAGGGCAGCTTTCATTGCTGATTGTTTCCCATTTCTTATTCCCATTCTGCGATCTCGTATTCTATAATATTTGGGGTAATGTCCGTTCAGAAGCAGAAAAACACTAAACGTCTATAAGGAAGATCGTACATAAGACGCCCGTCATTTTGCAGGTTAATATTGCTTCATTTGTGGACATTTAGCGGTCTGTGAAGTGCTGTGAAAATTATTGGGAAGTGGAGGAAACATCTGCGGGCAGTGTTACAATGTATCTCCTGCAGCCCCGAGCAGGCTGCCGATTGGTTGTTGGAAGCGTCTGTGTACGGTTAGCCTTGGATTGGATTCTCCACTTGGCCCGGTTCTGTAGTGTTAGGGATCATATGAATACAATGTTATTTCCTAATATCCGCGCGGTGAGATGATGATGATTGCCCGTCACACCAGATACTTACTCTTTCCTTTGTCTTCTCTTATCGAGCCTGCCCGACCTGCAGTGACTTCCTCAGCCTTGTCCAGGGGATTATGGATCTTCAGGAGCTGCTGGCGAAACTCACAGCTAAAGTAAGTCTTAATGATTTGCATCAGGGGAGGAAGTAGACGGTGGAGCG